TGAAATCAACAAAGAGGCTTATGCACCCCTATGTTCATTGCAGCATTATTCACGATAGCCAAGACGAAGCAACCCAAGTGTTCATCAACAGATGATTGGATAAAGAAGATGTAGTGTATATATGTATATAATGGAATACCACTCAGCCATAAAAAAAGACAAAATCATTCCATTTGCAACAACATGGATGGACCTGGAGAGTATTATGTTAAGTGAAATAAGCCAGACAGAGAAAGACAACCTCTATATGACCTCTCACATATGTGGAATATAAACTAACACACAGACAGAGAGAACAGTTTGGTGGTTACCAGGGGGAAGGCAGTTGGGGGGTGGGCACAAGGAGTGAAGGGGTGCATTTATATGGTAACTGACAAATAATAATGTACAACTGGAATCTCACAATGTTATAAACTCTTATGACATCAATAAAAAAATAATAATAATACTGTAGGGGCTGCCCCGGTGGCGTAGTGGTTAAGCTTATACACTCTGCTTTGGCAGCCCGGTGTTCACTGGTTTGGATCCTGGGTGCAGACCTACTCACCGCTCATCAAGCCGTGCTGAGGTGGCGTCTCACATAGAGCAACTAGAAGGATGTACAACTATGACATACAACTATCTACTGGGGCTTTGGGGAGAAAAAGGGAAAAAAGTAGGAAGACTGGAAACAGATGTTAGCTCAGGGCCAATCTCCCTCAAAAAAAAAAAGATAATTGTGTAGCAAAATTTTAGTGATAAATAAGGATATTAACAAAATTTCAAGTTATTAAAGCTGTTTGTCCAAATGCTATGTTTGTGTGATTTTTGTGACAGTCATATACATATATATAAATTAGTAGACAGAAACATACATAAATTGTTAATAGTGGTTGCCAGCATGACGATTTTTACTCTCAGCCCCTAAAACAGAATTTTAGATATAAATATTATATATCATATGTATTTATATTATATATATATTTAAAATCTGGTTTTAAAGTTGTTTAATCAAACTATATCAAACTGGCTTTACTTACACATCTCGGAGACCATTTGAACTTGTGCTCTCACTTTTTCAACTATGCCAGTTAGTCTCTTTGCCAAAGTTTTATTTTTTTTTTCCCCTGAGAGGAATACACAGAGCAGTGTTTTTATAAATCCATTCTTGGCGCCGGCCCCGTGGCATAGTGGTTGAGTTCCGTGCACTCCACTTCAGTGGCTCTGGTTTGCGGGTTCAGATCCCCAGTGCAGACCTATACCACTCATCAAAGCCATGCTGAGGCAGCAACCCACATACAAGATAGAGGAAGCCTGGCACAGAAGTTAGCTCAAGGCTAATCTTCCTCAGCTAAAAAAAAAAAAAAAAAAAAGTCCTTTCTTTAATTCTTAATACAGGTTTTAAAACATATGGCTGTTTATTTTTTCCCATCTATTGTGCATTTGTACATATTTGTCCTCTATTTTTGCTTTCTTTGGCTTTGATTTTTCCCTTAATGATTATCTAAAAAAGAGGCCTTTTGATGACTGGTGACTTCCACATTCCCAAAAACAAACAAAAACTCAAAGTTTAACAACTCTCCCTCCTGCATCCAGCAATCTGGGAAACTAAGTGGCTTACACAATTCAACGGCCAATGGCTCTTGATTTATAGTTTACATTATGTTTGGAAGCTTTTTCCGTTTGTACTTTTCCTTATTTACATTTGAGTCTTTTAATTATTATTAGCATTTCTTTCGATTGGCAACTCAAGCTGCTTTGGCTTGAGTGGCGCATTACATGGTCACATCTGCTCCCTTTCCACAGTTACAAACCAACGCTTGACTAGCTGATAACGTTACAGAAATGGCGCAATTCCGACTTTAAAGATTTTTTATTTTTCTTTTCTGTTCAAGACATGAATAATGGATTCTTGGCACCTTCCTATCATCATACCTCTGTGCAGCCAGACACTGCAAGTCTCCTCCATGCTACTAATCACCAGCAGGGTGCAGCCAGGCAGTGGCGCTGCCTGGGGGGAGCATCCTTTGGGAATTCAGAAAACTGAAAATTTTCTAGCCGCTGGTAGAGAGAAAATAAAGGAATCCAGTGATAATTTCATTAGCAAATAACATCTGAGGAATGGAGAGGTATCTTTATGTTAAACTGGCCCAGGATAAAACGAATTGCAGGGGCAAACGTTTACACTCCTCAAGTCCCAACCCTCCTGGCCCGATCCCAGAGAGAGGAATATGTGCACAGCAGTTTGCCCTGGTCAGAGGGGTAATTAGGCGGTCACAGGTTTGCTTACACCATTTTTCACTAACTAGGTACGTAATTATGACTGGAAATCTCAGCAGTAACGGGCATTTTTTTTATTACTCTCCTTGAAAATAAGTGTTATTCTCAGTCATGTTGCAATATCTGACAATTACATGGCTAATGTGTGCGTATGCATGTGCCTGAGGTAAGTCCTGACTCATCCAGAATCCCTATGCCAAGAATATCTGGATTATTTTCTTTATGAAGAAAGCTGAACTTGAGTTCATTTCCTTTACAACTAAGTCAAGATTTCAAAGAGTTTCAATTCCCCGAGGCTTGAACTCTACTTATATTCTAAGACTATTTATTAAAAACTGAAATCAGGTATTTTTCAATTCCCTACTAAGAAGTTTATTTCTTATTTCTTTATTCAAGCGTGTATTGAGTCCCTGCTTTGTGTCTAGAAAAAGTCAGTAGCTACCTGCTATTCGCTAGGTATCCTGTTGCTAGTTCTAGGCGTGAGGGTAGGATGAATGTGAGAAAGTACCTGCATTTGGAGAGCATACATTCTGATCATGCCTTTCACTAGAGCTGTTTCTATTTCCTCTTTGTAAAACAAAAAATGTAGAACCACACCATGCAGTCACCTCTTTGATGACATCCTAGAGAGATAATTTGCTGTGAATTTGTAGTTATAAAACTATCATCTACCCAGGTTTCCCCATAAGGAAAGTGTAGCATTGTTGTTAAAAGCACAAACGTCAGAATCTAACAGAACTGGGTTAGATCTCAGCTCCGCCTCTTGCAGCCATGAGATCTTCAACAAGAGTCTTGACCTCCCCTTGCCTCAGTTTCCCCTTCTGTAAAGTAGTGATGATACTATCTACTATATCCAGTGATTTGGAGGATTAACAGCTGGGCACAATACCTATCACAAAGCAAATATTCAATTAATAGTAATTGCTATTAATATAATAAATGGTAGATATTAATATATTAGAAGAAATTTGTTCGTAATTCTGTGACACCCTTTAAGACTTAGATATTTCAGGATCCAAGATAGAAAATTAGTGAGATCTTTTGTTTTCCTCATTCTATGTATACTGTGATTGGATTAAGTATTTGACAAGGTTTCTAACTAGAAACAGACTTTGTTCTTTTTTACTTAAACCAAATCAACACACACTGATTCTAGTGGCCAACCAAATTGGCTGGCTGTAGAGAAAGCCATGAACCAACTGGGAGAAAATGTATATTCTAGTTCTTTCATTATTTGACTTCAGAGAATTGACATAGTCTCTCTCAGCCTTATTTGTAAAATAAGGGGATGAAGCTAGATGATTTTTCAATGAACTTCAATTTTTAGAGTAGTTTTAGTTTTAGGTTTACTGCAAAATGGAGTGGAAGGTGAAGATGTTTCCCATATACCCCCTACCCAACACTTGTATTGCTGCCCCAGTTATCAATATCCCTAACCAGAGTGGTACATTTATTACAATAGATGAACTGACATTGACACATCATTGTCACCCCAAATCCATAGTTTACGTTAGAGTTTTCTCTTGGTGTTGTACATTCTGTGGGTTAGGACAAATGTATAACAACATGTGTGTACCATTACGATATCATACAGAGTAGTCTCAATGCCCTAAAAATCCTCTGTGTTCTTCCTATTCATCCCTCCCTCCACCCTAACCCTTGGCAACCAGTGATCTTTTTATTGTCTCTATAGTTTTGCCTTTTCCAGAATGTCGTATACAGTCACGCGTCACTTAATGACGGGGATACATTCTGAGAAATAAATCATTAGGAGATTTCATCGTTGTGCAAACATCACAGAGCATCCTTACACAAGCCTGGAGGGTATAGCCGACTACACATCTAGGCTATATGGTACTAATCTTATGGGACAACCGTCATATATGTGGTCTTTGGTCCTTGACCAAAATGTCATTCTGCAGCACATGACGATAGTTGGAATCATACAGAATGTAGTCTTTTCAGATTGGCTTCTTTCACATAGTAATATGCGTTTACATTTCTTTTACATCTTTTCATGGCTAGATAGCTCATTTCTTTTTAGCACTGAATAATATTCCGTTATCTGGATAGACCACCATTTATCCATTCACCTACTGAAATACATCTTGTTTGCTCCTAAGTTTGGGCAATAATAAACAAATAAAGCTGATATAAACATCTGTGTGCAGATTTTGTGTAGACATAAGGTTTAAACTCCTTTGGGTAGATATCAAGGAGTACAATTGCTAGATCATACGGTAAGAGCATGTTTAGTTTTGCAAGAAAGCACCAAACTGTCTTCCTAAGTGACTGTACCATTTTGCAGCCCCACTAGCAATGAATGAGAGTTCGTGTTTCTCCACACCCTCACCAGCATTTGGTGTTGCCAACGTTTTTTATTTTGGCCATTGTAATGGACATGTAGTGGTATCTCATTGTTTTAATTTGCATTTTCCTGATGACATATGATGTTGAGCATCTTTTCAGATGCTTATTTTTCATCTGTATGTGTTCTTTGGTGAGGTGTCTTTGAAGGCCGTTGGTCCATTTTCTGATCAGGTTGTTTGTTTTCTTATTGTGGAGTTTTAAGAGATCCTTGTATATTTTGTCCCTTATCAGATATGTATTTTACAAATATTTTCTCCTAGTTTGTGGCTTGTCTTCTCATTCTGTTGACATTGTCTTTCATATAGGACAAAATTTTAATTTGAATGAAGTCTAGCTTATCAATTATTTCTTTCATAAATTGCGAAATCCAAGGTCGTCTACATTTTCTCCCATGTTATCTTCTATGAGTTTTATAATTTTGCATTTTATTTTTAGGTCTGTGATACATTTTCAGTTAGTTTTTGTGAACAGTTTAGGGTTTGTGCCTAGATTCATTTTTTTTCACGTAGATGTCCAGATGTTTCTGCAATATTTGTTGAAAAGGCCATCTTTGCTTCATTGTATTGCCTTTACTCCTTTGTTAAAGATCAGTTGACGATACTTATGTGGGTCTATTTCTGGGCTTCCAATTCTGTTCCATTGATCTATTTGTCTGATCTTTCACCAACAGCACACTCTCCTGATTACCGTGTTTTATTAACTCTTGAAGTCAAATAATGCCAGTCCTCCAACTTTGTTCTTCTTCTTCAATATTGTGTTGGCTATTCTGGGTCTTTTACCTCTCCATATAAACTTTAAAATAAGTTTTTTGATATCCACCAAATAACTTGCTGGGATTTTGATTGGGATTACGTTGAATCTATAAATCAGGTTGGAAGTATTGACATCTTGACAATATTGAGTCTTTCTATTGATGAACATGGAATATTGCTCTATTTACTTAGTTTTTCTTTGACTTTTTTCATCAGAGTTTTGTAGTTTTTCTCATATAGATCGTGTACATATTTTGTTAGATTTCTAGATAAGTATTTCATTTTTGGGAGGTGTCAGTGTAAATAATATTGTGTTTTTAGTTTCAGATCTCACTTTTTGATTGTTGGTATATAGGAAAGTGATTGACTTTTGTATATTAACTTTGTATCCTGCAACCTTGCTATAATCAATTATTAATTCCAGAGGTTTTTTTTTTTTTGGAGATTCTTTTTGATTTTCTGCAACATGATCACGTCATCTGCAAACAAGAACAGTTTTTATTTCTTCCTTTCCAATCTGTATACATTTTATTTCTTTTTTCTGTCTTATTGCATTAGCTAGAACTTCCAGTATGATGTTGAAAATCAGTGGTGAGAGGGGACATCCATGCCTTGTTCCTGATCTTAGTGGGCAAGTTTCTTGTTTCTCACCATTAAGTATGTTGTTTGTCGTAGGATTTTTGTAAATATTATTTATTAAGTTGAAGAAGTTCCCTTCTATTTCTAGTCAATGAGAATTTTTATCATGAATGGCTGTTGGATTTTGTCAACTGTTTTTTCTGTATCTATTGATATGATCATATGATTTTGCTTCTTTAGCTTGTTCATGTGGTAGACTGTATTAATTGATTTTTGAATGTTGAACCAGCCTTGCATAACTGAGATAAATCCCATTTGTCATGGTGTATAATTCTTTTAATGTGTTGTTTGGTATAAGGGTAACGCTGGCCTCAGGAAATAAGTTAGAAAGTATTCCCTCTGCTGCTATCTTCTGGAAGAGATTGTACAGAATTGACATAATTTTCTCCTTAAATTTTCAGTAGAGTTTACCAGTGAATCCATCTGAGCTTGGTGCTTTATGTTTTGAAAAGTTATTAATTATTCAATTTCTTTAACAGGCATAGGCCTATTTAGATTGTCTATTTCTTGTGCGAGTTTTGGCAGATGATTTTTATAGACCCTTCAGGCTCCAACATTCAAGGAACTCTCATCTTTCCATCAGGCAGAAATATCTATATAGGAACCTGTGTACACACTTTGTCTTGGTTCTGCATTCTCAGTACTAAACTCAAGATCTGGCAGGTCATGAATATTATTCAGGTCAGGTTTGTTTAATGAATAAAAACTCTATGAGTAGGGAGGGGTCCTGACATCACCTAGAACAGATGGGTGACCATACCTTTTGAATGACAATGGGGCTTTTTATTATTCAAGAGACAGGGGAACCCCTTACGCATACCACCCCCAAACACCCAATCCCCTGTTAAACAAGTACTTTGAGCTTCATGGACAAATATCTGTGATTGCCACTTTTTTCGGTTCTTATCCTACCACTAGTAACAATTTAGTGACAGGACTCAATGGTATTTCTCAGATAAACCTTTTCCAAGTAGAGTTCTGCAGGATACTACTTCTGTGGGATATTCATTGCTCCTATGTAGAGAAAGGGTCCCTTAATCAGATATGTTGATCTACACCAGGCTCCTTAGAATTCAACAGCCTTCTTTAGTGCCTGGCTTCACAGGGCCTTACTTGTGCTCCTGATCACTTGGTAATCAACCAATGCCTTGGACCTAGGAGCCTCAGGATCATCCCCAGAACTAGGATTCCACGGTATACATTTTGATACATGCTGCCTTCAACATTCTTGCATCCATTTCCTCATTCTGCATTCATATGTGAATGATTTGGGTCGTCCTGTGTTGAGTTCAGAGTCATGGTTTTTTGAGCTCAGTTTCCACTGGAAGCAGATTTACAGGTACAGGGATTTGGTCTCTACAGGGAACAGCAAAGCCACTCTTTCCTCTTGGGGATGCCCATTAGCTCACCATATGAGGTGTTATGAACTGAATGTTTGTCTTCCCCAAAATACATATGTTGAAGCCTTAACCCCCATTGTGAAGGTATTTGGAGAAGGGATCTTTGGGATGTAATCAGGACATGATGAGGTCATGTGGGTGGGGCCGTCATGATAGGATTAGTGTTCTTATAAGAAGAGATACCAGAGAGTGCTTTCTCTCTCTCTTCTTCTCTTTTCCCCATGAGGACACAATGAGAAGGCAGCCATCTGCAAGCCAGGGAACCAGCGCTGACGAGGAACCAAATTGACTGGCACCTTAATCTTGGACTTCTAGCCTCTGTAACTTTGAGAAAATAAATTTCTATTGTTTTAAGCCACCCACTCTGTGGTATTTTGTTATGGCAGTCCAAGCTGACTAAGACACAGGGCACATACTTTCCATTCCTACTGTGTCCACTTGTTCTGCCAGTGCATAGGAGGCATATAGGAGAAGAGTCCTTTCTAGAACTTTACCTATGGTGGAAGAATTCAATCTCACCTCACAGAAGTAAGTGAAAGAGAAAGGTATTTTCCTATAAGATTTCAAGAGATGTATTGTATCCTACTAATCTAGAACGGGATGCTCTCTTTGTGTTAATTTTTTGAAGAAGCTTAAAAGGTATTGTGCCCTCAGTCTCCCTCCTCTCTGTTGAAGGTCTTGCTCAGCTCAGTGGGATAGCTCAGGACAAAGGGAGTATTGCCTGTGTACACAAATATAGTAATAATGCAGTCATTTATTTTATCCTAATCCTGTATTTGTGAAAACATAGAAAAGGGTTAAATGTCACTATCTTGCTAAGTAAATCACCTTTACATTCTGGCTGGCCAAATTCAAATGTAAACAAAATTACAGAGGAATTTTAAAATACTTTTGGGAATGTGTTTCCAAGAAAGCTTAAGAACATACATATCATCTATTCATTCAAAGAAGCCCTCTCCTGGTGCCCCAGATATAGGGTAATATTTCTACCTAACCTCCGCATTTGTCAGCTCACTACTGGTTCTTAATGAGTATTCCACTGATATTTATTAAAAACTGACCATGTGCCAACATCGTACAGGGCTCTGGATACATAGAAATACTAAAATGTGATCTCTAACCTTAAGGATCTTTGAGTGTAAAGAGGACAACATACTAGTAAATAGGTAGATTATAATTCAGCAAAGTAGGGTATACCTCACTGTGCCGAGATGGTGGGAGAGGAATTGATGTGTGAACTATAGTTTGCAAAGTGAAATGGAAACTCTTTAAAAGAAATGGAACTTTCTACTAGGACTTTTCATTAATTCAGACCAACTCTTGGAAAATAATAAAGTAGGCCAAGTTTGCCTGTGGTTTCCTCTCCTTTTTTTCCTTACTTGGCCTCCTACCCACTCTACCATTTTTCCACTGCCAACTGATTCAGGGCCCCAACTCTCTTTGTCACATACTGATCTGGCACCCTGGAATTTCTTCCCCAGGAAAATTGTGCTAAGGCTGCCTTCCCTGGCCTGTGCCGTGTGCTTGCCATCATCATTCCTGCAGGGTTCACTTAGAAAAAGTACCTGCCCAGTTCTCATTTCCTCAGGGTGAGGTTTACTAGTTCTTAGAAAGAGACTGCTTAATATCTGTTTGCCTACAAGTGTTAATGCACTAACGAGAGATGGAAAAATGGAAGGTCTTCTCCTCTCCCAACTTTCTGGAGGAAACAT